ACAGCTACTCCCTCACTCCCCAATGCATTCTCCTGCTCCTTACACTGCTGTGATAGAGTCCTTGACTGAGCGTCGAGAGCCTGAGACTCGTGCTTCCACTCCTGAGCGTCGAGAGCCTGAGACTAGAGCTTCCGTTCCTGCTCGTGTTCGTCGTGTGCATCGTCCTCGTGCTCCGGCTGTCCCAGGCACTCACGATATGACACTCCGTCCTTCCTCTGTTCCACAGCGTGTTGTCCTACCGTCACCTCCTGCGTCTTCTCTTCCTGATGTTGCTGACCCTCCGTCTGACCTTGCTCATGCTTCCAGTCCGACTGTCACTCGCTTTCTTGCTACAGATGTGACGGACCCTACGTTCTCATCTCTTGCTGCGTCTGCCATAGTTGCTAAGCTAGTTGACTTTGCTGCCGTGTACCGCCTAGACTACCTTGCGAGTCTTGTTTCTGACCCTGACCCTGCCTGTCCTCCATCCGTCGGGGGTGAGTTTGCCCTTGGCTGTGACGTTCTTGAGGATAGCCAGGAGGAGATGGAGAGCCTTGCGGCCGCTGTACCTCATCTCGCTACCATGATGCTTGCCCCTGAGGGAGACCCGGATCCACTTGACATCCCCACCCCGCGCTCTTATAGAGAGGCGATCTCGGGTGAGTACTCCTCTTAGTGGCAGTCAGCCATGGACGCAGAGATGGCTTCCTGGAAGTCCACAGGCACCTACGTCGACGAGGTTCCCCCACCTGGGGCGAACATAGTCGATGGCATGTGGATTTTCAGGGTGAAGCGGCCGCCGGGTTCACTGCCTGCCTTCAAGGCGCGTTACGTTGTGCGAGGGTTCAGTCAGTGTGAGGGGGTCGACTTCTTCCAGACCTTCTCCCCCACCCCAAAGATGACCACTCTTCGGGTGTTGTTACACGTTGCAGCTCAGCGTGACTACGAGCTGCACTCCCTCGACTTCTCGACGGCTTTCTTGTAGTGTAGCCTTCACGAGGCCATCTGGCTGCACCGTCCAGAGGCTTCACTGGGTCGTTTCCTAAGGGTACCCAGTGGAGCTTACGGCGACCAGTATACGGCCTGCGTCAGGCGCCCTGCGAGTGGCACAACACACTGAGGACGACACTTGCGGCTCTTGGGTTTGCTCCTTCGACTGCTGACCTGTCGCTGTTTCTACGCACCGACACTACCCTACCGCCGCTCTACGTTCTCGTGTACGTCGACGACTTGGTTTTTGCTACTGGTGACACAGAGGCGCTGGCCCTAGTGAAGGCAGAGCTGTGGGAGAGACACACCTGCACTGACCTGGGTGAGCTGCGCAGCTATCTTGGCTTGCAGATCACCCGGGACTGAGCACGGCGAACCATCACCCTGACTCAGTCACACATGGTGCACCAGGTCCTTCACCGCTTCGGCTTCGGGTACTCCTTGCCACAGCCCAATCCTCTATCTACCGGTCACTTGCTCTCATCTCCATCTTCGGACGAGTCCGTAGAGCCGAGTGGTCCGTACCCAGAGCTTGTGGGTTGCCTCATGTACCTGATGACGTGCACACGACCTGACCTTGCGCACCCTCTTAGCCTCCTGGCTCGCTACGTGGCACCCGGTAGACAGCGGAAGGTGCATTTTGATGCTGCGAAGAGGGTAATGCGTTACTTGTGCAGTACATCGGGCATGTGGCTCGTGCTTGGAGGACAGGGTTCAGTGGTACTCACAAGACACTCCGACGCTTCTTGGGCCGACGACCAGGCGACTCAGCGTTCATCACAGGGTTACACCTTCAGTCTTGGCTCTGGTTCTGTCTCGTGGAGGTCCACTCGTTCGTCTTTTGTGCTTGGTTCCAGCTGTGAGGCCGAGATCTACGCTGGGGCCATGGCTGCACAGGAGTTACGCTGGCTGTCCTACCTGCTAACCAACTTGGGTGAGCGGCCTCATTCTCCTCCAATTCTGCACGTCGACAACAAGGCAATGCTTGCCTTGTGTCGCGAGCAGGGACTGGAGCACAGAACGAAGCACATTGCTCTTCGCTACTTCCTTGCGCGTGAGCTGCAGCAGCGTGGTCAGTTGCGTCTTGCTTACGTGGCCTCTCGGGTCAACACTGCTGATGTCTTCACCAAGGCCTTTGGGTCTGGTGATCATCAGCATTTCTGCACTGCTCTTGGGCGTGTGCCCACTCTGCCTCACCTGCTGGTTGCTTGACTTGCTCGTGTTGTACACTGATATATATCTTTATACCATCATGTTTACTCTTGCTAGGTTGTAATCAGTTGAGTGCCTTGTTCTTATAACTTTGCCTTGTTCTTTCCCTCAATGCTCACTGCGTGACTTTGCTTGTATTTGTGAAAAAACAGGAATGAAAGTTAGAAATGAGAAAGAGAGCTTTTTCACTAGCAAGCAGTTGAGTACATATAGCAAACCCTAAATTGGGTTGTACTCACTATTGAGTACCCCACTGCAGGCTAGACAAAACATAACATTCTGACACATCCCCATAGCCAAAGTGGGGTGTAATCAGCACAACAAGCAAAGCAAAACAAGCTCAGGGTGGATCACAACATCACCACACATTTTGAGCACAAGTACAAGAAGCAGCAGTTTATAGTTCACAAATATAAGCAAAGCTAGAGGCAGTCACAGACGGTAAGTGAGGAGGAGGAGGGACTGTGAGAGGAGAAGAGATAGGAGACGACAGGTGAAGCTGCAGAAACACGGGCAACAGGAGCGGCGCGCACTGTGGCTACCGGAGATTGTAGCCTCCGGACTACTGGAGTAACTGGCTCTGCGGCTAACTCTGAGCGGCAGGAGCAACGGACCCACGGGCGACTGGCGCAGCAGGCTCGCTGGGCTACCGGAGATTGTAGCCTCCGGACTACTGGCGCTGCTGGCGACACGACAGCTGCCTCCGCCCAACCTCCCTCTAACTGTCTCACCCCCCCTTCACACACCCCCTGCTGCACCCCTAGGTTCACTCACACTCCACCCCCTAGCACCACTCCGTCGACTCACACACACTCACCCCCCTCAGCGGCAGCTGCAGCAGTGGGAGACGGAGTAGGAGGAGGAGCAGGGGATGCCACACACCCTCCACCCAGCTTTCACCCCCATACTCGCCACCCCAAACCCCAACATTGGGTAGGGCCGCGACGAAGACGAGGGCAGGGCCGGGCAGGGCAGGGCCGGGACAGGGCCGGGGACGGACGGCAGGGCCGGGCAAAGCAGGGCCGGACAGGGCCGCGACGAAGACGGGAGGGGCCGACGCGCGGCCCCCTTCTGTCGCCCCTCCCGTCGCCTGTCGAGGCGACCCGGGGGGGGGGGCCGCGCGCGGCCCCCGTTGACGCCGCGACGGGCGACGAGGGGGGGGGCGCGCACGAGCCCCCCCGGGCGACGAAACCGCCGTGCGCCCCGGGGCGCGCGACGGGCAGGGCACCGCCGCGCGCCACGGGGCGCACGACGGGCAGGGCACCGCCGCGCGCCACGGGGCGCACGACGGGCAGAGTAGGGCGTCGCGCGGCCCCCAGGGCGGCGCGACGGTCAGGCGCGCGGCGGGAAGAAAAAATGGCCGCGCGCCCAGGCAGCGCGCGATGACAGAGTAGCAGCAGCGGAAGTATTGGGTGGGCCCATCCACAGGATCGACCCGTGGGGGTCGACCTGCTCTGATTCCATGTGAAGAAACAGGAATGAAAGTTAGAAATGAGAAAGAGAACTTCTTCACTAGCAAGCAGTTGAGTACATATAGCAAACCCTCAATTGGGCTGTACTCACTATTGAGTACCCCACTGCAGGCTAGACAAAACATAACATTCTGACAGTATTGTGATCTATATATATACCTGGATGCTTACACTTGCTAGGGTGTGGTCGCTGTACTGTTTGTTCTCTTTTATATAACTCTGCATGTGAACTGGCCTTGTGGCCATTTGCTTGTGCTCAGAATGTGTGGTGACTTCGTGATCCACCCTGAGCTTGCTTTGTTGTTTTTTTACTGGTCTTGTGGCCACTTGTTCTCCCCCACTTTGCCTATGGGGGTGTGTCAAAATGTTATAGTGCTTACATTGTGTAGGCTGTAGTGGGGTAGCCCATAAGGGGTACAACCCAATTAGGGTTAGTACTTGTACCAACTTTCTGTTCAATGCATTCATTCTCGTTCAGTATTCTGACAGCTTGTGCTCAGACTGTGTGGTGTCCTTGAGATCCACCCTGAGCTTTGTTTTGCTTGTTCTCTTGCTTGACTGGTCTTGTGACCATCTAGTTGTCCCTCACTTAGCCTATGGGGGTGTGTCAAAATACAATTTTACTTGCTAGGCTATAGTGGGTTACTCAGTACGGGGTACAACCCCAATTCGGGTTAGCCTATACAAACCTGTACTGCCCTGTTTCTAGTCATTCCTGCACAGTTGATTCTGACAAATCTGCACTGGCTTTTCCTTCGGGAGCCATGGTGATGCAGAGTTGTAATAGTTTTAGTGAGTAATTTATAAAGAGTTTGTTCTAGAAAGAACGGGATCTTGACAGGCCTTATGATTCACTCTTGCTCTCATACCAGTTGTAACTGAAGGATCGTAGTGGATAGGATAAGTTTGCCAAGATTAAGAGAAGACAATGAAGTCTTTGTAGTGACCTTGTTATAAAAGTTGAAAGAGAACAAGATAATTATAAGGTAGACGTACAAGGATATAAATAGCAGTCCTAGCTAGCCATGTACTATGAGGGGTACATTACTTTATTAACTGAATTACATTGCTACAGTAACCGCGACTATTGCTCTTCTTGACAGTTACCATGTTGCATTGCGTAACTTCCAAGTGCGGTTACTGGGCGGTCAAAGGCCACGACCGTTGACTGTGTTCGACTGTTCACCTTCGGGTGACTCTCGATCTTCCGCATGCTCTATATGAGCTATTGCGGCACTGATACAGACGTGTTACTTCGTTACGGAGTGATGCGTGAGTGGAGAGCTTTCGGGGATGTTACGATAACCTTTCGGTTATTCCAACATATGAGTTATCCAACCAAACATCTCATGCCGATGGCACAATGAGCCCTCTGCTGCGCATGTACACCACCGCCAAAATAAACGACGCGATACACGCTACACTGCTCCCAATCACAACATAATAGAACACGCTATAATTGGCCGGGTTCTCCGGGTCGAAATACGAGCAGTCGATGTTCATCCCGAACACCCCCGTGACAACGATGAAGAAGGAGATGAAGAGAGTGGCGGTGGTGAGCAGCACGTTCATCTGCAGCAGGCTGTTCTGCTTCTCGTCCAGCATGATGTTGATGTAGTCCTCCGTGTCCTCCACGTACTCCCTCAGCTGGAAGGGGGTGCAGAGCGGTACAGAGGGGTAGACAACAGGGTGAAAATGGGTAAAGGGGGGTACCGTATGGTATGGAGGGGTATAGAGGAATATGTTGTTGATGTAGTGCTCCGTGGCCTCTAGTCCAGAAACTCGAGCAACTGAAGGATGAGACATGTGGAAGCATGGGAGCAGCGTAGAAAGGATAGACATTCATGTGCAACCTTACGTGTTTTTGAGACACCTCAAAAAACATTCATTTGCAACCTTACGTGTCACCCATGTGTTGCTACTGTGCCAGTCACTTTACGCCACATTCACATGCACATGATAGCTCCATGCCTTGATGAAATGTCCCCATGATGCTAGCTCAACCACATGCATGCACATGTACATACCGACCTAGCAGCGACTCTACCTCCTCAGAGTCACATTCAACCATTCGAATAAGCCAATGATAAGCCATTCGACCTACCTATGATAGCTTATGACGCGTGCTGTCAATCTGCACAAAGTACGCCTCTAGAAGCATCTCCAGCTCCTCCGCATCCCACTCAGCTCAACTCACACATGTTAAGCCGACAAAACATAAGTGATGAGCCATCCACACATACCGATGACAGCTTGTTGAGCGTGCCTTCGATCTGCACAAAGTATGCCTCGAGAAGCATCTCCAGCTCCTCTACATCCCACTCAGCTCAACTCACACATGATAGGTCAATGGCTTACGATGAGACTACGCGCGATACGTTAACAACACGTACCGATGACAGCTTGTTGAGTGTTCCTTCAATCTGCACGAAGTACGCCTCTAGAAGCATCTCCAGCTCCTCTACATCCCACTCAGCTCAACTCACACATGATAGGTCAATGGCTTACGATGAGACTACGCGCGATACGTTAACAACACGTACCGATGACAGCTTGTTGAGTGTTCCTTCAATCTGCACGAAGTACGCCTCTAGAAGCATCTCCAGCTCCTCTACATCCCACTCAGCTCAACTCACACATGATAGGTCAATGGCTTACGATGAGACTACGCGCGATACGTTAACAACACGTACCGATGACAGCTTGTTGAGTGTTCCTTCAATCTGCACGAAGTACGCCTCTAGAAGCATCTCCAGCTCCTCCACATCCCACTCAGCTCAACTCACACATGATAGGTCAATGGCTTACGATGAGACTACGCGCGATACGTTAACAACACGTACCGATGACAGCTTGTTGAGTGTTCCTTCAATCTGCACGAAGTACGCCTCTAGAAGCATCTCCAGCTCCTCTACATCCCACTCAGCTCAACTCACACATGATAGGTCAATGGCTTACGATGAGACTACGCGCGATACGTTAACAACACGTACCGATGACAGCTTGTTGAGTGTTCCTTCAATCTGCACGAAGTACGCCTCTAGAAGCATCTCCAGCTCCTCTACATCCCACTCAGCTCAACTCACACATGATAGGTCAATGGCTTACGATGAGACTACGCGCGATACGTTAACAACACGTACCGATGACAGCTTGTTGAGTGTTCCTTCAATCTGCACGAAGTACGCCTCTAGAAGCATCTCCAGCTCCTCTACATCCCACTTCTTGCTCCCACTGCTGCGGCTGCTGCTGCTGCTGCTGCTGCTGCTGCTGCTGCTACTGCTGCTACTCCTGCTGCTCCCACTCTTACCACTCCCACTCTTACCACTCCCACGGCTGTGGCTGCGACTGCGGCTGCCTCTGCTCCCTCTGCTCCCTTTACTGCCACTTCCTCTACCGTCACTTCCCTCTTCTGACCCCAAAACCTCACCACCGATCCCACCCGGAAGAGAACCCACTGAGCCTACCCCTGGCCCATGCTCAGCCACGCTGGGAAGAGAGTGAGTTGAATGCCGGTGGTGGTCAGGGTGCTGTGCGTGGGAGCGCGAGTGGGAGTGCCCGCGAGAGTGCGAGTGCGAGTGAGAATGAGAGTGTGAGCGGCCGCTGGCAGAATAGATGGAGAGGCGGGGAAGGCTGGGAGAGGGTCCTGTGGGGGAGAGGTGAGAGAGAGACGAATGGACGGTCGGATTTGAATGCTGGGACGAAGGGGGACGGTGCTGCGATTCTGAGCTTGCATGGTCATGTCGACCAATCGCTAGCAGCAACGGCTCATGCCCGTCTGACCCTGCACCATCTGAACCTGTGCCCTCCGAACCTGCACCCTCCGAACCTACACCTTCCGAACCTACATCCTCCGAACCTGCATCTTCTGAGCCTACACCTTCCGAACCTGCACCTTCCGAACCATCTCCATCCGGAGGAATGTTATCCAGTTCAGGAGGAGAAGCACTACCAGAGCTCGGACAATCCTCTTCCCTTTCAGAAACTCCTCCTCCCCTTTTCCCTCCACAGGCAGAGGATCCAGAGTGGGATGGCACGCCAAAGCTGAACTTATCCTCTGCCCGCCCGTGCACGTGCTGCTGATGTTGCTGGAGCAGCCGCTGCCGCTCCTCCTCCTCGCGCATCTCCTCCTCCTCCTGCTGCTGCTCTGCCGCCGCCTGCCGCTGCTGCAGCAGCTTGTCTGTCAAATACATCTCGTCCATGTCCTCATCGTCGTCTAGCAACTGCTCTAGCTCATCTCGAACCTGCCAATAAAGGGGATGGGATGATGCAGGGGACAAAGTAAAGCAGGGGAGATGCTGCAACAGCTTGTCTGTGGGGTACATTTCGCCATGTTCTCATCATCGTCTAGCAGCTGCTCTGACTCATCTCGAGCCTGTTAATAAGGGGGGCATAGTAGCGTGGGGGGCACACAGAAGCAGCTTGTTTGTCAGGTACATCTCGTCCGCATCCTCATCATCGTCCAACACTCGTCTCGAACCTGTCAATAAAGGGGATGTGGTAAAGCAGCGGACACGGTACAGCAAGGAATAATGTGCAGTGGGCCACTTGTCTGTGAGGTACATTCGTCCAAGTCCTTTGTGTCGTCCAACAGCTACTCCAAAACATCTTGAACCTGCCAATAAAGGGGATGAGATAAGGCTGGAGACGGTGAAGGTTTTAGGTGAGTTGTGAGTCGTGTTGCTGTGCTTGTCATTACCTGGCTGCTTTTCTAGCTCGTCTCGTACCCGCCAATAGCGACTACTCAATCAAATACAAACGAATTTATGCATGCGTAAAAGTCGGGGACCATCAATTCATGTTTGCATCACTGTCGGGAGTTGTTGTAGATTGTTTTGAACCTGCCAGTAATAAGGACGAGGCCAGACGATGCAGCGAGGAGACTGCATGCCTTTCAACATGCCCATTCCCATCTTCTGCATGCAGCGTTACACCAGAAAAGAAAACCCCTTTGCAGTGACACACCTTACCAGCAGCATGCACGAGTGCAGAATACCGCAGCACAGCAAAGACACAGACACGCCCTTTCCACCACCCAGCGTTCTGCACTCCACCTTAGCGGCAGCCAGCAAACACCCACCTAGTGCACCCTCAGAGCACTCACAACCCCTCACAGCCCCACCTTCTGCACGTGGCCAGAGATGACGACGAGGCGGCTCTTGATCTGTCGCACCCTCTCCAGGTTCAACGTTGAGAAGAGCACACACCTTGTACCATAGACCAGCCTCACAGCCACACCTTACCCGCCCCCTTCAAGCACCCACCTGGTACCCTCAGTGCCTCACCTGCAAGAGCCCCATCTCCAAGCACCCACCTTCTGCACACGGCCCGAGATGACGACGAGGCAGCTCTTGATCTGCCGCACCCTCTCCAGGTTGAGAGTCGACACGAGCATCCACTTTCTTTGAATGATAGACCACACCCGGACAACCCCACCTTCTGCACAGGCACACACGCAACCTGCAAGCCCACCTTAGCGGCAGCCTGCAAGCCCCCACCTTCTGCACACGGCCCGAGATGACGACGAGGCGGCTCTTGATCTGCCGCACCCTCTCCAGGTTGAGAGTCGACACGAGCATCCACTTTCTTTGAATGATAGACCACACCCGGACAACCCCACCTTCTGCACAGGCACACACGCAACCTGCAAGCCCACCTTAGCGGCAGCCTGCAAGCCCCCACCTTCTGCACACGGCCCGAGATGACGACGAGGCGGCTCTTGATCTGCCGCACCCTCTCCAGGTTGAGAGTCGACACGAGCATCCACTTTCTTTGAATGATAGACCACACCCGGACAACCCCACCTTCTGCACAGGCACACACGCAACCTGCAAGCCCACCTTAGCGGCAGCCTGCAAGCCCCCACCTTCTGCACACGGCCCGAGATGACAACGAGGCGGCTCTTGATCTGCCGCACCCTTTCCAGGTTCAACGTTGACACGGACGCTGTGAGCTCGTCCAGTGCCGGGTATGCCTCCTGCTCCACACGGGTGGTCTGGTGGGAAGAGTGGGGGAGAGAGAGGTGAAAGTGAAAGAGGTGCAGCGAATGGGGACATGTCGCAGTGAGCTCGTCTAGTGCTGGTTATGCTTCTTGCTCCACTCGAGTGGTCTGGAGGAGAAGGCGGCAAAGGGGGAGAACAAAGGCGGTGACAGGGGTGCGGCGTGCACGAATGGGGGAAAGATGCGATCAACTCGTCCAGTGCAGGATATACCTCCTCCTGCTCCTGCTCCACTCAGGTGGTCTGGAGAGGCCGAGGGAATGGCGAGGAGGAACGCATTGAACCCCAGCAACACTAGACCTGGACAACAGTCGTCTCAGCAACGCTTACCTTGGCAACGCTTACCACAAGCGGCCTCCAGGCACACCTAGAGCATTTAGCGCCCCTCACCTCAGCACCCCCTGCCCCACTAACCCCTTCAGCCCTCACCTCAGCGTCGAGGGTCCCACAGGCAGACTCCAGGCAAACCTCCAGTGCGCGGGACTCAAGGGCAGCGCGTTGGGGCCCCGCCACGCCCGAGAGCCCATTCCCTCCCTTTCAATCAAACCCTCTCACTCCCACCACTGCACCCACCCACTCCCCTCAGCAGCCCTCACCTCAGCGTCAAGGGTCCCACAAGCAGACTCCAGGCAGACCTCCAGAGCGCGGAACTCAAAGGGCAGCGCGTTGGGCCCCGGTTACACCAGCACACCCATTCCACCCCTTTCTACCCACGCCTCTGCCCTCACACCATCCCTGAGGCTCACCTCAGCGTCGAGGGTCCCACAGGCAGACTCCAGGCAGACCTCGAGCGCCCGGAACTCAAAGGGCAGCGCGTTGGGGCCCCGCCACGCCATCCCCCCTGCTTCCAACGCCGCCGCTCCCACCCCCTCTCCTGCTGCCTCTACTGCTGGCCCTCCTGCTGCTGCTGCTGGCGCTCCTGCCGCCGCCGCGGCCACCGCTGCTGCTGTCGCCACCGCTGCTGCTGCCGCTGCTGCTGGTGGTGCTGATGTTGCTGGTGCTCCCACTGTTGCTGGTGTTGCCGATGGTGGTGGTGGAGAGATGGTGGATGTGGGTGGTGCTGAAGCAGCAGCAAGGTTGGCAGCTGCTGCAACAGAGGAGGGTGGAGGGGGAGGAAATGAGTGGAGTGGGATGCTTGCAGCAGCACGGGCAGACACTGGTGCTGAGGTGGCAGTTGCTGAGGTGGCAGCTGCTGAGGTGGCAGTTGCTGATGTGGGTGTGGCAGCAGCAGCCACCGTTGCAGGAGCAGGAAGGGAGGTTGAGGGTGGCGAGAGAGTGAGCGGGGGAATGAGCTCATGCCCTAGCACCTGAGAGGAAAGGGGAACACGAAAGGAACGGTGGGGAGGAGGAGGGTATGTGGCGGAGGGTTGGTGGATAAGAAGGAAAACCTCAAGCTGCTTCGCCATCCCATGGCCAACCGCCGGGTTCATGCCGGGGCTTTAAGGAAGGAATGTAACCTGAGGTGGGGCAGGAGGTGGAACGTGCCCTGGGAGGGAGGGAGTGTAGCGGGAAGCCCACACCTCACCACCCTTGCTTGCTTTGCTACCTGCTGGCCCGCATTGTTTGAGGTTGATTTTGAGAATTCTCAAAATCAACCTCAAACGAAACATGTACCTGCAGGTAGCCCACACCTCACCACCCTTGCTTGCTTTGCTACCTGCTGGCCCGCATTGTTTGAGGTTGATTTTGAGAATTCTCAAAATCAACCTCAAACGAAACATGTACCTGCAGGTAGCCCACACCTCACCACCCTTGCTTGCTTTGCTACCTGCTGGCCCGCATTGTTTGAGGTTGATTTTGAGAATTCTTAAAATCAACCTCAAACGAAACATGTACCTGCAGGTAGCCCACACCTCACCACCCTTGCTTGCTTTGCTACCTGCTGGCCCGCATTGTTTGAGGTTGATTTTAAGAATTCTCAAAATCAACCTCAAACGAAACATGTACCTGCAGGTAGCCCACACCTCACCACCCTTGCTTGCTTTGCTACCTGCTGGCCCGCATTGTTTGAGGTTGATTTTGAGAATTCTCAAAATCAACCTCAAACGAAACATGTACCTGCAGGTAGCCCACACCTCACCACCCTTGCTTGCTTTGCTACCTGCTGGCCCGCATTGTTTGAGGTTGATTTTGAGAATTCTCAAAATCAACCTCAAACGAAACATGTACCTGCAGGTAGCCCACACCTCACCACCCTTGCTTGCTTTGCTACCTGCTGGCCCGCATTGTTTGAGGTTGATTTTGAGAATTCTCAAAATCAACCTCAAACGAAACATGTACCTGCAGGTAGCCCACACCTCACCACCCTTGCTTGCTTTGCTACCTGCTGGCCCGCAGCGCTCGAATGCATCAGCAGGCGTGCCTGGAGCTCCCCCCACCACCCTCCTACCCTGGGCACATGAAAGTGCCTAGAGATGTGTGCTGTGCAATGGGAGGGAAACATACATGCATCAGCAGGTGCGCCTGGAGCTCCCTCACCTGCCCACCCTCTCCCCTTCCACCCACCCACCAACCCACCCACCCTGGCCACCTGGAAGTGCTGCGCTGCAGATGTGCTCAGCAATGGGACAAATGGAAACATGCACACACACACACCTTGTAACTGCTGCCCTCACCACACTTGGTTGCTTTGCTACCTGGTGGCCTGCTGTGTGTGTGGAAGTGCAGAGGCAGGCGTGCCTTGAGCTCCTCCACTCCACCACCTCCGCCACCTGGAAGGGCAGAAAGATGTGCCGTGCAGTGCTGTGCGGTGCGGTGCGGTGCAATGGGAGAGAGACATGGACGTACCTTGTAGTAGCAGCCAGCCTCCCACCTGGTGGCCTGCTGTGTGGAGGTGCAGCGGTAGACGCGCCTTGGGCTCCTCCACTCCACCACCCGCGCCACCTGCAAGTGCCTCATGTGATGTGCCTCGAGATGTGCTGTGCCATGGAATAGGACTGATTGAAACTAGCACGCACCTTGTGGTATCTGCTGCCCTCACCACCCACCCACCTGCTGCCCTGCGGCATTGAGATGGAGGGGCAAGCGCGCCTTGAGCTCCTCCACCACCCTCGCCACCTGGAAGTTCCGCCAGTTGAGCAGCAGCACCTCCTCTGCCATTATTATGCACTGGATGGGGGGAGGGAGAGGGGGGGATGGGGGATGGGGGGATGGGGGATGGGGGGATGGGGGGATGGACGGGAGACGGTATGCGGGAAGCAGGGCGGGGGAGGGAAGCCAGTTAAGCAGCAGCACCTCCTCCGCCATTACTATGCACTGGGGGGAAAGGGGAGGGAGAGGGCGGGATGGGGGGATGGGCGGGAGAGGGTATGTGGGGAGAAGGGCCGGCGAGGGAAGCCAATTAAGCAGGAGCACCTCCTCCGCCATTACTATGCACTGGGAGGGAAGGGGAGAGGAAAAGGGGTATGGGGAAGAGGGGATGTGGGAAGGGATGGGGAAGCGGAGCGGGAGAGAGAAGCGAGTGAAGCAGCAGCATTACCTCCACTATTATTATAAACTGGGGGGAGGGGGAGAGGATGTGGGAGAGGGGGATGGGCGGGGGATGGGCAGGGAGGGAGGAAGGGGAGTACCGCCAGTTGAGCAGCAGCACCTGCTCCAACAATATTAGACACTGGGGGGGGGGAGGGGCGGGGGTGGGGGGAAGGGAACGGGGGATGGGGGAAGGGATGGGGGAAGCGGGGCGGGAGAGAGAGGCGAGTGAAGCAGCAGCATCACCTCCGCCATTATTACGCACTGGGGGGACGGGGGAAGAGGGGGAGGATGTGGGAGAGGAGAGGGGGGCGGGCGGGGGATGGGCGGGGGGAAAGGGGGGTGGGTGCCAGGAGGGGAGTGCAGCACCGGGGTGAATTTTGAGAATTCTCAAAAGTCACACCAATATAGCCAGGAGGGGAGTGCAGCCAGTTGAGCATCAGCACCTGCTCCGCCATTTTCCTACACCGGGCGGGCGGGGGTGTAGGGGGAGGGTAAGGGAGGGGTAGAGAAGGAGGGCGGAGTGGATGCGAGCAGGGGAGGAAAATCTGTCGAGCAGCAGCACCTGCTCCGCCATTATCCTGCACTGGGGGGAGGGGATGGGGGGGAATGGGGGAGATGGGGATGGGGATACGGGGGGGTTGGGCGGGAGGTGGTATGGGGGGAACAGAGCGGGGGAGGGAAACCATTTGAACAGCAGCACCTCCTCCGCCATTATCATGCAATGGGGGGATGTGGGGGGTAATAGGGAGGATGTGGGGGGGAATAGGGGGGATGTGGGGGGGAATAGGGGGGATGTGGGGGGGAATAGGGCGGACGTGAGGAGCATGGGGGGACGGGGGTTGGGGACGTGTGGGCGCGACAGGGGATGCGAGGGAAGCCAGTTGGGCAGAAGCACCTGCTCCGCCATTACTTTGCACTGGGGGATGAGGTGGGGACGGTGGGTGGGGAATGGGGTGTTGGAGGGGATGAATGCGAATCCCATTGAATGCTGCATTGCACATGGGCCAATGGGGCAGTTCAAGCAAAGGTCGCGTGGATGCCATGCTCTTGACGAGTGCAAACGACTCTCCATCTACATAGGACTCTCACTCACTCACCTTGACTTGACGTGCTCGAGATTGGCAACGAGAGGGCTCGCTCAAGCAGCATCGATGCCCCAGCAGCGGCGTGGAGGGGTAGGAGAGCAAGAGAAGAATGGAGAAGGAAGAGGGCACGCACGGGAAAGAGTCGCACGAGAGTATGGTGCAAAGGAAGATTACCTTGATGTGCTCCAGATTGACCACGATTGCTTGCTCGCGGCCCAGCAGCGTGGAGGGGTAGGAGAGCAAGAGGGGAATGGAGAAGGAAGAGGGCACGCACGGGAAAGAGTCGCACGAGAGTATGGTGCAAAGGAAGATTACCTTGATGTGCTCCAGATTGACCACGATTGCTTGCTCGCGGCCCAGCGGCGTGGAGGGGTAGGAGAGCAACAGGAGAATGGAGAAGGAAGAGGGCACGCACGGGAAAGAGTCGCACGAGAGTATGGTGCAAAGGAAGATTACCTTGATGTGCTCCAGATTGACCACGATTGCTTGCTCGCGGCCCAGCAGCGTGGAGGGGTAGGAGAGCAAGAGGGGAATGGAGAAGGAAGAGGGCACGCACGGGAAAGAGTCGCACGAGAGTATGGTGCAAAGGAAGATTACCTTGATGTGCTCCAGATTGACCACGATTGCTTGCTCGCGGCCCAGCAGCGTGGAGGGGTAGGAGAGCAAGAGGGGAATGGAGAAGGAAGAGGGCACGCACGGGAAAGAGTCGCACGAGAGTATGGTGCAAAGGAAGATTACCTTGATGTGCTCCAGATTGACCACGATTGCTTGCTCGCGGCCCAGCAGCGTGGAGGGGTAGGAGAGCAAGAGGGGAATGGAGAAGGAAGAGGGCACGCACGGGAAAGAGTCGCACGAGAGTATGGTGCAAAGGAAGATTACCTTGATGTGCTCCAGATTGACCACGATTGCTTGCTCGCGGCCCAGCAGCGTGGAGGGGTAGGAGAGCAAGAGGGGAATGGAGAAGGAAGAGGGCACGCACGGGAAAGAGTCGCACGAGAGTATGGTGCAAAGGAAGATTACCTTGATGTGCTCCAGATTGACCACGATTGCTTGCTCGCGGCCCAGCAGCGTGGAGGGGTAGGAGAGCAACAGGGGAATGGAGAAGGAAGAGGGCACGCACGGGAAAGAGTCGCACGAGAGTATGGTGCAAAGGAAGATTACCTTGATGTGCTCCAGATTGACCACGATTGCTTGCTCGCGGCCCAGCAGCGTGGAGGGGTAGGAGAGCAACAGGGGAATGGAGAAGGAAGAGGGCACGCACGGGAAAGAGTCGCACGAGAGTATGGTGCAAAGGAAGATTACCTTGATGTGCTCCAGATTGACCACGATTGCTTGCTCGCGGCCCAGCAGCGTGGAGGGGTAGGAGAGCAAGAGGGGAATGGAGAAGGAAGAGGGCACGCACGGGAAAGAGTCGCACGAGAGTATGGTGCAAAGGAAGATTACCTTGATGTGCTCCAGATTGACCACGATTGCTTGCTCGCGGCCCAGCGGCGTGGAGGGGTAGGAGAGCAAGAGGGGAATGGAGAAGGAAGAGGGCACGCACGGGAAAGAGTCGCACGAGAGTATGGTGCAAAGGAAGATTACCTTGATGTGCTCCAGATTGACCACGATTGCTTGCTCGCGGCCCAGCAGCGTGGAGGGGTAGGAGAGCAACAGGGGAATGGAGAAGGAAGAGGGCACGCACGGGAAAGAGTCGCACGAGAGTATGGTGCAAAGGAAGATTACCTTGATGTGCTCCAGATTGACCACGATTGCTTGCTCGCGGCCCAGCAGCGTGGAGGGGTAGGAGAGCAAGAGGGGAATGGAGAAGGAAGAGGGCACGCACGGGAAAGAGTCGCACGAGAGTATGGTGCAAAGGAAGATTACCTTGATGTGCTCCAGATTGACCACGATTGCTTGCTCGCGGCCCAGCGGCGTGGAGGGGTAGGAGAGCAACAGGAGAATGGAGAAGGAAGAGGGCACGCACGGGAAAGAGTCGCACGAGAGTATGGTGCAAAGGAAGATTACCTTGATGTGCTCCAGATTGACCACGATTGCTTGCTCGCGGCCCAGCAGCGTGGAGGGGTAGGAGAGCAAGAGGGGAATGGAGAAGGAAGAGGGCACGCACGGGAAAGAGTCGCACGAGAGTATGGTGCAAAGGAAGATTACCTTGATGTGCTCCAGATTGACCACGATTGCTTGCTCGCGGCCCAGCAGCGTGGAGGGGTAGGAGAGCAAGAGGGGAATGGAGAAGGAAGAGGGCACGCACGGGAAAGAGTCGCACGAGAGTATGGTGCAAAGGAAGATTACCTTGATGTGCTCCAGATTGACCACGATTGCTTGCTCGCGGCCCAGCAGCGTGGAGGGGTAGGAGAGCAAGAGGGGAATGGAGAAGGAAGAGGGCACGCACGGGAAAGAGTCGCACGAGAGTATGGTGCAAAGGAAGATTACCTTGATGTGCTCCAGATTGACCACGATTGCTTGCTCGCGGCCCAGCGGCGTGGAGGGGTAGGAGAGCAAGAGGGGAATGGAGAAGGAAGAGGGCACGCACGGGAAAGAGTCGCACGAGAGTATGGTGCAAAGGAAGATTACCTTGATGTGCTCCAGATTGACCACGATTGCTTGCTCGCGGCCCAGCAGCGTGGAGGGGTAGGAGAGCAAGAGGGGAATGGAGAAGGAAGAGGGCACGCACGGGAAAGAGTCGCACGAGAGTATGGTGCAAAGGAAGATTACCTTGATGTGCTCCAGATTGACCACGATTGCTTGCTCGCGGCCCAGCAGCGTGGAGGGGTAGGAGAGCAACAGGGGAATGGAGAAGGAAGAGGGCACGCACGGGAAAGAGTCGCACGAGAGTATGGTGCAAAGGAAGATTACCTTGATGTGCTCCAGATTGACCACGATTGCTTGCTCGCGGCCCAGCAGCGTGGAGGGGTAGGAGAGCAACAGGGGAATGGAGAAGGAAGAGGGCACGCACGGGAAAGAGTCGCACGAGAGTATGGTGCAAAGGAAGATTACCCTGATGTGCTCCAGATTGACCACGATTGCTTGCTCGCGGCCCAGCAGCGTGGAGGGGTAGGAGAGCAACAGGGGAATGGAGAAGGAAGAGGGCACGCACGGGAAAGAGTCGCACGAGAGTATGGTGCAAAGGAAGATTACCTTGATGTGCTCCAGATTGACCACGATTGCTTGCTCGCGGCCCAGCAGCGTGGAGGGGTAGGAGAGCAAGAGGGGAATGGAGAAGGAAGAGGGCACGCACGGGAAAGAGTCGCACGAGAGTATGGTGCAAAGGAAGATTACCTTGATGTGCTCCAGATTGACCACGATTGCTTGCTCGCGGCCCAGCAGCGTGGAGGGGTAGGAGAGCAACAGGGGAATGGAGAAGGAAGAGGGCACGCACGGGAAAGAGTCGCACGAGAGTATGGTGCAAAGGAAGATTACCTTGATGTGCTCCAGATTGACCACGATTGCTTGCTCGCGGCCCAGCAGCGTGGAGGGGTAGGAGAGCAAGAGGGGAATGGAGAAGGAAGAGGGCACGCACGGGAAAGAGTCGCACGAGAGTATGGTGCAAAGGAAGATTACCTTGATGTGCTCCAGATTGACCACGATTGCTTGCTCGCGGCCCAGCAGCGTGGAGGGGTAGGAGAGCAAGAGGGGAATGGAGAAGGAAGAGGGCACGCACGGGAAAGAGTCGCACGAGAGTATGGTGCAAAGGAAGATTACCTTGATGTGCTCCAGATTGACCACGATTGCTTGCTCGCGGCCCAGCAGCGTGGAGGGGTAGGAGAGCAACAGGGGAATGGAGAAGGAAGAGGGCACGCACGGGAAAGAGTCGCACGAGAGTATGGTGCAAAGGAAGATTACCTTGATGTGCTCCAGATTGACCACGATTGCTTGCTCGCGGCCCAGCAGCGTGGAGGGGTAGGAGAGCAAGAGGGGAATGGAGAAGGAAGAGGGCACGCACGGGAAAGAGTCGCACGAGAGTATGGTGCAAAGGAAGATTACCTTGATGTGCTCCAGATTGACCACGATTGCTTGCTCGCGGCCCAGCAGCGTGGAGGGGTAGGAGAGCAAGAGGGGAATGGAGAAGGAAGAGGGCACGCACGGGAAAGAGTCGCACGAGAGTATGGTGCAAAGGAAGATTACCTTGATGTGCTCCAGATTGACCACGATTGCTTGCTCGCGGCCCAGCAGCGTGGAGGGGTAGGAGAGCAAGAGGGGAATGGAGAAGGAAGAGGGCACGCACGGGAAAGAGTCGCACGAGAGTATGGTGCAAAGGAAGATTACCTTGATGTGCTCCAGATTGACCACGATTGCTTGCTCGCGGCCCAGCAGCGTGGAGGGGTAGGAGAGCAACAGGGGAATGGAGAAGGAAGAGGGCACGCACGGGAAAGAGTCGCACGAGAGTATGGTGCAAAGGAAGATTACCTTGATGTGCTCCAGATTGACCACGATTGCTTGCTCGCGGCCCAGCGGCGTGGAGGGGTAGGAGAGCAACAGGGAATGGAGAAGGAAGAGGGCACGCACGGGAAAGAGTCGCACGAGAGTATGGTGCAAAGGAAGATTACCTTGATGTGCTCCAGATTGACCACGATTGCTTGCTCGCGGCCCAGCAGCGTGGAGGGGTAGGAGAGCAAGAGGGGAATGGAGAAGGAAGAGGGCACGCACGGGAAAGAGTCGCACGAGAGTATGGTGCAAAGGAAGATTACCTTGATGTGCTCCAGATTGACCACGATTGCTTGCTCGCGGCCCAGCGGCGTGGAGGGGTAGGAGAGCAAGAGGGGAATGGAGAAGGAAGAGGGCACGCACGGGAAAGAGTCGCACGAGAGTATGGTGCAAAGGAAGATTACCTTGATGTGCTCCAGATTGACCACGATTGCTTGCTCGCGGCCCAGCAGCGTGGAGGGGTAGGAGAGCAAGAGGGGAATGGAGAAGGAAGAGGGCACGCACGGGAAAGAGTCGCACGAGAGTATGGTGCAAAGGAAGATTACCTTGATGTGCTCCAGATTGACCACGATTGCTTGCTCGCGGCCCAGCAGCGTGGAGGGGTAGGAGAGCAACAGGGGAATGGAGAAGGAAGAGGGCACGCACGGGAAAGAGTCGCACGAGAGTATGGTGCAAAGGAAGATTACCTTGATGTGCTCCAGATTGACCACGATTGCTCGCTCGCGGCCCAGCAGCGTGGAGGGGTAGGAGAGCAAGAGGGGAATGGAGAAGGAAGAGGGCACGCACGGGAAAGAGTCGCACGAGAGTATGGTGCAAAGGAAGATTACCTTGATGTGCTCCAGATTGACCACGATTGCTTGCTCGCGGCCCAGCAGCGTGGAGGGGTAGGAGAGCAACAGGGGAATGGAGAAGGAAGAGGGCACGCACGGGAAAGAGTCGCACGAGAGTATGGTGCAAAGGAAGATTACCTTGATGTGCTCCAGATTGACCACGATTGCTTGCTCGCGGCCCAGCAGCGTGGAGGGGTAGGAGAGCAAGAGGGGAATGGAGAAGGAAGAGGGCACGCACGGGAAAGAGTCGCACGAGAGTATGGTGCAAAGGAAGATTACCTTGATGTGCTCCAGATTGACCACGATTGCTTGCTCGCGGCCCAGCAGCGTGGAGGGGTAGGAGAGCAAGAGGGGAATGGAGAAGGAAGAGGGCACGCACGGGAAAGAGTCGCACGAGAGTATGGTGCAAAGGAAGATTACCTTGATGTGCTCCAGATTGACCACGATTGCTTGCTCGCGGCCCAGCAGCGTGGAGGGGTAGGAGAGCAACAGGGGAATGGAGAAGGAAGAGGGCACGCACGGGAAAGAGTCGCACGAGAGTATGGTGCAAAGGAAGATTACCTTGATGTGCTCCAGATTGACCACGATTGCTTGCTCGCGGCCCAGCGGCGTGGAGGGGTAGGAGAGCAACAGGGAATGGAGAAGGAAGAGGGCACGCACGGGAAAGAGTCGCACGAGAGTATGGTGCAAAGGAAGATTACCTTGATGTGCTCCAGATTGACCACGATTGCTTGCTCGCGGCCCAGCAGCGTGGAGGGGTAGGAGAGCAAGAGGGGAATGGAGAAGGAAGAGGGCACGCACGGGAAAGAGTCGCACGAGAGTATGGTGCAAAGGAAGATTACCTTGATGTGCTCCAGATTGACCACGATTGCTTGCTCGCGGCCCAGCGGCGTGGAGGGGTAGGAGAGCAAGAGGGGAATGGAGAAGGAAGAGGGCACGCACGGGAAAGAGTCGCACGAGAGTATGGTGCAAAGGAAGATTACCTTGATGTGCTCCAGATTGACCACGATTGCTTGCTCGCGGCCCAGCAGCGTGGAGGGGTAGGAGAGCAAGAGGGGAATGGAGAAGGAAGAGGGCACGCACGGGAAAGAGTCGCACGAGAGTATGGTGCAAAGGAAGATTACCTTGATGTGCTCCAGATTGACCACGATTGCTTGCTCGCGGCCCAGCAGCGTGGAGGGGTAGGAGAGCAACAGGGGAATGGAGAAGGAAGAGGGCACGCACGGGAAAGAGTCGCACGAGAGTATGGTGCAAAGGAAGATTACCTTGATGTGCTCCAGATTGACCACGATTGCTTGCTCGCGGCCCAGCAGCGTGGAGGGGTAGGAGAGCAAGAGGGGAATGGAGAAGGAAGAGGGCACGCACGGGAAAGAGTCGCACGAGAGTATGGTGCAAAGGAAGATTACCTTGATGTGCTCCAGATTGACCACGATTGCTTGCTCGCGGCCCAGCGGCGTGGAGGGGTAGGAGAGCAACAGGGGAATGGAGAAGGAAGAGGGCACGCACGGGAAAGAGTCGCACGAGAGTATGGTGCAAAGGAAGATTACCTTGATGTGCTCCAGATTGACCACGATTGCTTGCTCGCGGCCCAGCGGCGTGGAGGGGTAGGAGAGCAACAGGGGAATGGAGAAGGAAGAGGGCACGCACGGGAAAGAGTCGCACGAGAGTATGGTGCAAAGGAAGATTACCTTGATGTGCTCCAGATTGACCACGATTGCTTGCTCGCGGCCCAGCAGCGTGGAGGGGTAGGAGAGCAGCGGGTCAAGAATGCGGAGGTCGCGCGCTGGGATGGAGCAGCGGCGCATGATGGCGTACTTGTCCGCCTCTATCACCTGAGGGGGGGAGAAAGGGGGGAGGAGGGGGGGAGAGGAGGGGAAAGGGGGGCGGAACAGGGAGAGACGGGGAAGGGAAGAGGGTAGGGGCATGCCGCAGCCAGATGGATCAGCTGCATGATAACGTACTGGCAGATGGGCGGCGAAGGGCTCCATGCCCTCACGCCAGCTCTCTTTGAAGGCGCCTTCGACACAATCACAAGCCCTCGTTACAGATGACCCACACCTGCGTCTGCCCTGATTGGTCGATCCGCAGCCACGACCGCGCGCCAGCGCCCTTGTTCCGCCGCACGCCCAGCAACCCGCGCTCGCGCTCCCTCCCCTCCTCCCGCTCCGCCTCCTTCCGCCTCTCTTCCGCCTTCCCCTCGTCCATCCCGCCCTCCGCCGCAACCACCGGCGCCGGCGACGGTGGCACGACTAGCCGCTTCTTGCTGCCGCTGCGGCCCAGGAGCCGCGCCTTCGGCTTCATTCTCACGAATGCGCTGTCCCGTTTTTTCGCGAACGCGCTGTCCCGTTTTTTCGCGAACGCGCTGTCCCGTTTCTCACGAACGCGCTATCCCGTTTTTCGCGAACCGCCTGTCGAGGCGTTCTCAGCAGCTAGTGGCTGCCTCGCGTTGCTCCCTTACTCGGCTTCGCAACGGTCTCGAAGCGACGCCTTCGACTTCATTCCAACGCCGCCTCGAGGCTTGGCCGCTGGGACGTGTTTCCGCTGACTCACTCGCCGCTCTATCTACCTACAAAGCCTTGAAGCCCCTATCGAGTCTACTCAAGTCTTGAAGACCCTTCGCCTACAAAGCTCGGCGACCATAACGTCCGTCTATCGAGCGGACTTCTGAGTTATCTCAAACGTTGTCACGAGGAAAAAGATCCTCGCTTGAAGGGCTCTCTTTATAAAATTCTGCTCATAAGGGCGAGTGTCCTTCTGTCTATTTAAAAGTTCAGGTTTATTGTCCGAATTTATACAGATTAACATTGGTCTACCTCTAGTCGACTATCTCGACCTTTGATGGTCAAACCGCATCATCACCTTTCAATAAGCACGTGTAACAAACAATGGTTGATTATCGAAATTCGACCTTGTATAGCAAAAACCATCATAACCCGGATATACCCGCCCCTGGGGGTATAATAAATGTTAAATTGTATTTGCATACCTTATAACTGCCTACAGTTAGCTAGTGTACTAGATTAGTTATTAGATACCAACTGCTGGTGGTGTACCCTTTTCCCTTCCTCTCCTTCCTATTTGTACTCCCAACTCCATAATGAAAGCCCTCTTTTGGCCAACTTCCCTCTCCATGGTTCTCCTTGCTGAACACCTCCTAAACCTCAGTACAAGCCTAAGCTCCTAATCTTAACATGGTATCAGAGCATGGTTCCTCCCAGGACCTGTACTTAATGGGCTCACCAAACTCGCGATCTGTCATGGCGTGCCTAGTCGCACCCCGTGTCAAATTAACAAACGAGAATGAATGAACTAGCAATCAGTTGGGTACAAGTACTAACCCTAATTGGGTTGTACCCCTTGTGGGCTACTCCACTACAGCCTACACAAATGTATGAACTATAATGTTCTGACACACCCCCATAGGCTAAGTGGGGGAGAACAAGTGGTCACAAGACCAGTCAAGAAAGGCAAAGCAAGCTCAGGGTGGATCTCAAAGTCACCACACAGTCCGAGCACAAGCAGAGGGCCACAAGGCCAGTTCACATGCAGAGTTATATAAAGAGAACAAACAATACAGTGATCATACCCTAGCAAGTGCAAGCAAGTAGGTATATATATAGATCACAGTACAAACAGAGTCAAGCAGTAAGCAAGTGAGGCAAAGTAGGCACAAGGCCTAACACAGTAACAAAGCGCTGATGATCACCAGGCGGAAGTGCCTTGGTGAAGACATCAGCATTGTTGGCCCGAGTGGCCACGTACGCAAGACGAAGCTGGCCACACTACTGCAACTCTCGAGCAAGGAAGTATCGCAAAGCGATATGCTTCGCTCGGTGCTCCAGTCTGTGCTCCTAACACAAGGCAATTATGGCCTTGTTGTCTACGTACAGAACTCGAGGCGAACGAGGCTACTCTCCCAAGTCGGTCAGCAGGTAGGTGAGCCAGCGTAGCTCCTGAGCAGCCATGGCCTCGGCGTAGATCTCAGCCTCACAACTGGAGCTGAGAACCAAAGACGAACAGGTAGACCGCCAAGAAACAGAGCCGCAACCAAGGCTGAAGGTGTAACCCTGTGACGACCGCTGCGTAGCTGAGTCGTCCACCCAGGAGGCGTCTGCGTGACCGGTGAGGACAACTGGACCCCGTCCTCCAAGCACGAGCCCCATGCCCGACGTACTGTACAAGTAACGCAGTACCCTCTTCGCAGCATCCCAGTGCACCTTTCGGTGCCTGCCGGGAGCCACGTAGCGAGCCAAGAGGCTGAGAGGGTACGCGAGGTCGAATCGAGTGCATGTCATCAGGTACATGAGGCAACCCGCAAGCTCTGGCTACGGACCACTCGGCTCTACGGACTCGTCCGAAGGTGGAGCTGAGAGCGAGTGGCTGGTAGACAGAGGAGTGGGCTGTGGCGAGGAGAACTGAAAACCGAAGTGCTGAAGGACCTGGTGCCCCATGTGTGACTGAGTCAGGGTGATGGTGCGCCGAGCTCTGTCCCGGGTGATCTGCAAGCCAAGATAGCTGCGCAGTTCACCCAGGTCAATGCAGGTGTGTCTCTTCTGCAGTTCCGACTTCACAAGAGTCAGTGCCTCAGTGTCAGCAGTGGCAAAGACGAGGTCGTCGACGTAGACGAGGACGTAGAACGGCTGCAGCGAGGTGTCGGTGCGTAGAAACAGCGACGGGTCAGCAGTAGCAAGAGCAAACCCAAGAGCCGCAAGTGTAGTCCTCAGTGTGTCGTGCCACTCGCGAGGCGCCTGGCGGAGACCGTAGACTGGCCGCCGAAGACTCCACTGAGCACCTGCAGGAAAAGACTCAGTGAAACCACGTGGGCAGCGCAGCCAGATCTCCTCGTGCAGGCTGCTCTGCAGGAACGCTGTGCTGAAGTCCAGAGAGTGCAACTTTTAGTCACGCTGAGCAGTGACGTGCAGCAACATCCGAAGAGTAGTCATCTTCGAGGTGGGGGAGAAGGTGTGGAAGTAGTCGACTCCCTGTCGCTGATTGAAGCCTCGAGCAACGTAACGCGCCTTGAAGGCAGGCGGAGAACCCGGCGGCCGCTTCACCCTGAAGATCCACATGCCATCGACTATGTTCACCCCAGGTGGGGGAACCTCGTCGACGTTGGTGCCTGTGGACTTCCAGGATGCCATCTCGGCATCCATGGCTGCTTGCCACTGAGAGGAGTAAGGACCCGTTATCGCCTCTGCGTAAGAGCGCGGGGTCGGGATGTCTGGAGCATCCGGGTCTCCCTCAGGGGCAAGAAGCATGGAAGCGAAACGAGGTACAGCAGCTGCAAGACACTCAAAGTCCTCCTGCCTGTCCTCAAGGACGTCTGTGCCAAGAGCACACTCACCCCCGACGGACGGAGGACTGGCAGGGACAGACTCAGCAACAAGAGCAGTGGCGTAGTCTAGACGACAGGCAGCAGCAAAGTCAAGCAGCTCAGCAACGAGAGCAGACGCAGCATAAGACTCAAAAGAAGGGTCAGTGACAGCAGTGACGAGGAGACGAGAGATAGTGGGACTGGCAGCACGAGCGCGGTCAGACTCAGGGTCTGGGACCTCAAGAAGAGAGGACTCAGGAGGAGCACGCAGAGGAACACGCAGAGGAACAGAGGAAGGACGAAGGGTCATAGCGTGCGTGCCAGGGACAGGAGGAGGATGCGAACGAGGAACGCGACGAGCAGTGCGAACGGGCGAGATAGGACGAGACGCAGGCTCACGACGCTCTATAAGACCGCCGGACTGCTCAGTGTAAGGAGAAGGAGCAGGCAGTGGAGAGGCCGGCTGTAACAGCGGCTGCGACTGGTCAGGCGGGGGACACAGGAGGGGAGGAGTAAGGGCAGCAGAAGGCGGGGTACCAAGAACCTGCTGGAGCAGGGGAACAAAGTACGGTCGCGGCCGCACAGCGCCACCAGGGTCAACAGCTCCAGCTCCTCCAGCTCCAGCACCTCCAACATCAGGGCCTCCAACTCCAGCGCCTCCTGCGCCAGGGCCACCAACTCCAGCTCCTCCAACTCCAGCGCCAGTAGTACCAGACTCCGCAAGGTCTCCAGCTCTAGTACACTCAACACCACCAGTCCCGGCAGCTCCAGTACCCCGGGTACGAGCACCTCCAGGACCAGTGGTCGCAGCACCTCCAGTAACACCAGCTCCAGCAGCAACTCCAGGACCTCCAGCTCTAGCAGGGCCAGCACCTCCAGCTCCAGAAGCTCCACTCCGAAGGCGTGTACGCCGAACAAACCACTCACGCAACTGCTGCGGAGACAGGCTCGACGAAGCACCAGCAGAACCTCCAGATGAAGCAGTACCCATAGGCTCCGCACCTCCAGACTCCGCACCCTCTGACGCAGCACCCCCAGGCTCAGCACCCCCAGGCTCAGCACCCCTAGTCACAACACCCCCAGGCTCAGCACCCCCAGGCTCAGCACCCCCAGTCACAACACCCCCAGGCTCAGCACCCCTAGTCTCAACACCCCCGGGCTCAGCACCCCCAGGCGTAGCACCCCCAGATGTATCACCTCGAGCAGCACCTGAGCCGACAGCTACCTGAACAGGCGCAGGACCAAGGAGAGGGTCTACCTGAGACACACCTGAGGGAGCAGGACCCTAGGGTGGGAGGGGGTTTACCAGAGGGGGACCGGGAGCAAAGAAGAGCGGCGGGGGCGGGGGAGGGGCAGAGCGGTAGGGGAAGAGACGGTAAAAGGGAACCGACTCGTCGAACGTGACGTCCTGAGAAGGGAAGACACGGCGCGAGGTGGGGTGGTAAAACTGCCAGCCAGGCGCGTCGGGGACAAAGCCAAGGAAGACGCAGGGGATAGCACGGGGGGAGAGCTTGTCCGCTGACGTATCGCGAACAAAGGCACGAGAACCCCAGATCCGGAACACCGACGCATCGCCAACCTCCCCCGTCCAACGCAGTGTAGGCAAGGTCTCCGGCAAGGAGACACGGGGCCAGAGGTTGAGCTGATGCGCAGCGTACTGGACTGCAAACGGCCACTGGAAATGGGGAGCAGCCGCATGGATCATGGAGGTACGAGCAACCTCCATGACTAAGCCAATGCGGCGCTCAGCAATCCCATTTTTCTGAGGGGATTCCGGAAGCGTGAACGACTGGAGAATGCCCTCCCCACGACAAAAGTCCCGCAAGAGGTTGGAGGAGAACTCACGACCTCTGTCAGAGTGCAGATGCAGGATAGGAAGGTCCTGGCCGAACCGCTCGCGGAGCTGGAGATGGACTGTGCGGATCCAAGGGATCAAGACATCAACGAACTGACCCTTGCTGCGCAAGGGGAAGACCGTGGTGTACTG